AAAGGCTGCTCCACCATTTTGTGAACTTGATTTTAAGACACAGAAGTCAGGCAGGAGAAAAAGAAGGAAATCATCAAATAGTTTGAGTACATGTACTCTTAAACTTTTTTTTTTTAATTCTCTGTGTTTCTTCTCCTGTGGTGTCAGTGTCAGACCCTAGGACATTGTCATGCCTGGCAAGCACCTAATCTCAGAGCTACATCCCAAGCCCTGTAAAGTACTTTTAAGTATATAAAATATGGAATCTTCATATTTACTAAGAAATGTGGCATATCAAATCCTTTTACTTGTGTCATAATTTTTTATTTTTTGAAGTCCTGATATAAAATGTGAAATAATTAGATTTGTTAGCATTTTTAATATCTCTTCTTTTCTGTTTTTAAATCATTTTCCCAGTGAATCTGGAACTTCTGGAAAACAAAGTGACAATGTCTCTTTGGATGTTTTACCAGTTAAAGGCCCTCAAGGTCCTCCTTTTCTCTCACAAATTGCCCACCCCGCTCAGGGCACACCAACCTCTGAAGAAAGGTGGGCTGTCCATCCGGAACACTTGATTCTGGTAGCTCCTTCTTGTGAATACTTGGGTAAGAACTTTTCAGAAGTCCATTTAGGAGTCAGGGTTTGCATTCCTGTATCTGCAGTTCCCACCCGGATACCTGACAATTGATCAGTACTCCACCTAAGAAGTTCTACCTGCTGCTTATTGACCTAACACTGATAACTCTGGGTTCAGGGCAGGAACAAATGGTACATACATGTTTCCCAAAGTGATGTCAGGTGAGAGCATCCTAAAAGCATCTCTCTAGCCTGGTTCAGTGGAAGCCAGGGTCTTTGTAGTTTCCAGGAGTTATCAGTAAGACCTACTTTAGCACAGACTTGAGATTCCTATAGTTGAACTGTTGAAAAGGAAAATAAAGCTATTATAATACACCTGCATTTACTCAGGATTCAGTATTACTAACATTTGTTTTATTCCACTATGGCTAAATGGAATTAACATTATTTATCTGGTACAATAGGTGACATGGCAAAAACTGGACGTTTCCAGATTATAAATAACTCTGTTAGGGTACTGAAATTTGAGCTATACTGGCCAGCACATTGCCTGACAGTCACACCACAACATGGATTTATCACACCAGAGTAAGTATGTCTTTTTTTTTTTCCAGTGTTGTTATTCAGATGCTGTCTTGGAGGCTTTTTCTTTTCAAGACAGGGTTTCTTTGTGTAGCCCTGACTGTCCTGGAACTACTCTATAGACCAGACTGGCCTCAAACTCACAGAGTTCCATCTGTGTCTGCCTCCGGAGTTTTGGGATTAAAGACATATGCCACCATGCCTGGCTTTTTTGAGGCTTTCCTTTTAAAACAATGTATTAGTTATTCATAATGAATATAGAACACTTTTATACATGTATAAATATTTTACATGCATTTTGGTCATATTTTCCTTCTGTTCCCACTCCCACTGATTCCTTTCCTCATCCCAACTGAGGGACCAAGTTATCTCATTACACATTTGTTCAGGGTTCAGTTGTAGAGCTCTTGCCTAGCATGTGTAAGTCTCTGGTTTCTGTTCCCAGAACTGCAGAAATAAGCAAATAAAATGATTCAGTTAAAAGTTTGCCCTCTGCTAATAAAGTACCCATCTTATTTTGTGATACAACCTAGCTGTTTTGCTTTCCGTCTCTTTGATTTGAAATGTGCATTGTTTTTTGTTTGTGTTTATCATATGTTTATCATATCATACTGCCCTTGCCAGTAGAGAAAAAAAGATAGGGATGGTAGAACAGTTATTTTACAAATGACCCCAGGAGCCCCATAGATTAGTTATTAGTAATGGATAATTTTAAGATTTATATATTTATTTATTATGTGTGCAGTATTCTGCCTGCATGTATGCTTGCACATCAGCAGAGGGCACCAGATCTTAATACAGATGGTGGTGAGCCACCATGTGGTTGTTACGAATTGAACTCAGAATCTCTGGAAGGACAGCCTATGTTCCTAATGACTGAGCCATCTCTCCAGCCCCAATGGCCCAATGGAAAATAATTTTGTTATGATAGTTTTTGACAAGTATGATTTTTTTTCATAGATGCAAGTCCGATCTCTTCATTTAAACTTAATTTTAGCTTTTTATTTTTACCTTACGTCCTAGAGGAGAAATTTGATAACAGAGAAGATCAATAACTGATTAATTAATACCCTTTCCTCATTTTCCTCTTGTATTTTCTTACAGTTTTTCCTGAAAAGTTAATTTGCTTTGTGCTGTGACCCCAATTAATCAAGTTGCTCAGAGTTTATGTAGTATGAATCTGTCTGGAATTGATCCTGAGATGATATTTCTATTTGAAGAGTTTTTCCTTGGTCTGAGGGATTTCTGCCAAAAACATTTTGTTTACCATTGTTGGGTATTAAGGACAGATGAGTCATGTAAAGAAGTTTGGGCAAGAGCTAACCACGGTCTCTATTTTTTCCAGCACAGGCAATGATTGGTTATTGGCAGAACAGTATTTGTAACTTGTCATTACTACTATAAAAGTGAAGAATATTCTCAGTGTTCATTATTATTATTATTTTATTTCTTTTTTTAGAAGTAAAATACAAATTCTTGTGAGTCCCAATTCTTCCCTGTCCACAAAACAATCAATGTTCCCTTGGACTGGCTTGATCTATATACACTGTGATAACGGAGAGAAGGTATGTTTGAGTTGTTTTTCTGGGCAGCATTCTTTTTATTTTGTAGCTTCAGTTTAATAGTTCTTAGAATGTTTACATTTCAGAAGTCAGATGAAACCCAAGTAGGTATACTTCTCAGAGCACTTAGTACAGATTTTTGCCCTTAGTGATCTGAACAGTTTTACTGGGAGACTGGGGATGGAAAATGAGGACCTCGAAACCATTACTAATTATTTGCTTTAAAATCAAAAAGGAAGGAAGGAGTGAGGCAGGGGACTTGGCACAGTGGGTAAAGCACTTGCCTTCTAAGTGTCAGGACCTAAATTTAGAGCCCCAATACCTACGTAAAGACAGACATAGAAGCATAGTGAGGTAGAGACAGGAGAATCCCTGAGAACTCACTGTGGTGACAGATAAGAGGCCTTGCTTAAACAAGGTAGAAGATGAGTACCAACACCCAAGGTTGTCCTCTGACCTCCACATGAGTGCTTAGGCACATATGCATGTACACTCATACATACCCATGCACATAAATACAGAGATAGAAGGAAGTGGGGGAAGAAAAGGAAATGCTCAGAGAAGAGATAGAACCAAAGGATTACTGCTTTGAGATATGAATAAATTTTATATCTAAATTTCTAAATTCATTAGTGTTTTTTGTTTTGAACCTCTTTATCATAATTTAAAAACCAGAACGTGCCTTTTAAACTGATGGCTACTTTCGTGTCTTATTCATTTGACTTATTTCAGAAAATGGTAAAAGTTCAAATACGAGAAGATTTGAGTCAACCTTTACTTCATTTGGCCTCGAGCACATTTGGACCTCTTGCCCCAGGACCTGAGCCTTCCATTAGTCATTTGACAAAACCAATAGCAAAACCACCTTCCACAAAAGTTGAAATTAGAAGCAAAACAGTGATTTTTCCTCCAACAGAACCTGGTAAAACTTCAGGTATTGTATCACAAAATTAGGATGGTCTGATGCCATTGCTGCATGAAGTCTGGTGCTTTGTTTTCCATATATCCATGCATTGTTTTTGTATGCTGGGTCTCAGCATCACATGTGTTAGTGCTTTCCTGCTGAACTATACTTCTAGATTCTTGTTAATCAAAAGTTAATCTTGAGTTATATGTACAAAATTTACTCCTGCTTACGGAGAAAATTATGAAGTCATTTGCAGTCATTTCAATAATGGGATGGATTTGAAAACACAATCTTAAAATCTGAAGCCTGGGCTCAAATAACTGTATTCCTGGTATTTAGGTTTTATTGGATGATTATTATTATCCTTTTACAACCAGATCTCTCACCTAGTAATTGGAGAAGAAGGGAGATGGGTGAATTAGGGTTTTATTGCTGTGAAGAGACACCATGACCATGGCAACTCTATATTATAAAGGAAAACATTTCATTGGGGCTGACTTACAGTTTTAAGGTTTAGTCCATTATCATCATGGTAAGCAACATGGTATCCTGCAGGCAGACATGGTGCTGGAGAGGTAGCTGAGAGTTCTACATTGATATTGGCAGGCAACAGAAAGAGAGAATGCTTCTGGGCATGACTTGGGCTTCCTGAAACCAGAAAGCCTGCCTTCAATGACACACTTCCTCCAACAAGGCCACATCTTCTCCAACAAGGGTTAAGCTTCCCAATATTATCACTACTTGCCTTTGGGGGCCATTTTCATTCAAACCACCACAGTGTGAATGAGGGACCACGTCTCTGATCCTGATTGATTTTGAGGTCCTCAACAGGCTAGGTTCACTGCTCAGTTTCCCCATGTGTTAAGGGACTATTGTAACCATCACCTCGGGGCACACTGAGGGTAGATTTAGTCATTCATTTGTTTATTTATATATAAAGCATTGAACCTGGTCTTTACCATCTAGTAGGTACTCTGTAGTTAGTGTCTCTTTCTCCTCCTCCTTGTTGACTTTTGCTAAATGAATAGTATTATTTGGGTGTTCTAGAAAGGATTTGGGTCCATGTCTCACTGAGACATACAGTACCTTTCATTGACTTGTTTCCTTTGTAGGCCTCCTGGACCTTACGATTTACCGCAGTAGCTCACTTTGCTCTCACACTATTTTAAGACGTCTTTCCCCTTCTTCAGGGATTTCAGTCTAGTCTTTCCAACCTTGTTGTGTCTCTATTTCAAGGCCCACAACCTTCATGGCCTCTATCACTTAGCTCAGGTCCTTTACTTAGACTCCTTGAGTCCTATTCCCTGTCCTGATAACCATAGCCTTTCCCTCTTTTCCTTGACTTCTTGTGCCTTCTTGTTAAGCCTTGGTCAAACTTAGCTGTCTGACAACTTGTGTCCCCACTCCAGCACCCGGGCATTAATGGTCAAAACATACAGACTTTGCTAATTCATATCTCAGATGTCCCTTTATCATGTGTTCTCACCAGCAGCCCATGTTCCAGCTGTTCCCTGAGTTCTCTCATGTTGTGTAACTCCTGACTTTGCCTCACATATAGAGAAGTCATCAGGCTAAATGAAATCCTTGTTTTCTGTCACAAAGGATGCCTTCTGCTTAAACCTAGGTCCATCTACTCCGTTTTCTCAGGATTCTCCCTGCCCTTGCCCTCACCTTCCTTTCCCCCTTCTTTGTTTGTTCATTTCAGTGAGCCCTCAGTGTGTGCTCCCATTACCTCCACCCCCATCTTTCTCTGCAACTGCTATCTTTCTCAACACACTCTCTGGTGGAAGGGTCCTGCTCCCTGCCTTTCCTTTCTTAGTTTGGCTAGATGACATCACTATGGCTAGCTAGCTTGATCAGAGCTCCTGAAGAGCTGTTTTGCCGTATCTGTAGCCTCTTAGGTGACATTGCTCCTTTCTCCATGGATTTTTCATACCTGGGGTGCCAGTGCTCCTGGATTTTCCTGCCTTGTTCCTTTCAAAATACCTTGGGACTCTTTTGCATCCCAGAACCTGAAGTTACAGATGAGCCCTGGGCCCACTTACACCCTGCTGCCCCCATGCCCTTCCGCCTTCTTTCTGGACTCCCTGAGCAGTGGCTTGTAAACTGTGACTGGCTCTGCTGTTTGCTCAGGTGATGTGTTGTTAGAGGTGTTGCACCTAGGACAGAACCTTCGTCTCCTCTAGTCTGACCTTGTGAGTCATTGACACCTGTCTTCCCATTGTAGTGTAATCTTGTTCTCTTGTCTCAGCCCTTCAATTATCTTTGCATTATACCTTGAAAAGAATCCAAAACAGGATATTTGATTCTCTAGAAAATTCTGTAGTTCCTACTTGACCTACAAGGTCATGAGGTTTGTCATAGAGCTGCTTGCCACCCTCTCAGGGATAAAAGGGTGAATTTTATCTTTTCAGAGAACTATCTGGAGCTGGAGAATTGTGGCCCCAATGATGTGAAGTGGCACCTGTCATCTTTTGCTCCCCCATATGTCAAGGTCAGTCACCTAAATTGTTCAGACTCCGTGGACCATTTCAATCCATGTATACAAGTACATGTTAAGATGTTGATTGTTTGTGCCACCAGTTTATTCACTTGTGTTTTTCTGTAGGTAGGGATGTTGTGTAGCTATTCTTTTTCACCAGATAATTCTGAGAATCAAATTAGAAAACTTTTTAAAAGTGCCAAGCAAGCAAAAATGCTTGCTCCATTTAATTTTCCTAGTTCCAATTTTTACCTGAATAAATTAGTTTGAGAAATGTTTTATTATTGAGCCCCATGTGTGCACACACTATTTCCTTTGCACGCCCACTGCACTCCGTGCTTACTCACTGCTGTTATGTCTATCATGTTTCAGTCCATGGGAGCTGCTGCTGATGGCATGGGCAGAACTCAGCTGGGAAGCAAGTGCTTTCTTAGGAATGTACTGAGTGTTCCTGACCTATTTTGAGATGGATTTGTCCTGTCCTCCATAACTATCAGACTAATGGAATCTTTTTAATTAATGTATTAGATTATGAGATTCTTTATCATTTGAATAATAATAGCCATTTAATTATTTTGAATGATTATTTTCCAGGGAGTTGATGAAACTGGAGATGTTTTTAGAGCTACCTACACAGCATTCAGATGTTCACCCATTTCTGGAACACTGGAAGGCCAAAGAATCCAAAAGGTGAGTTTTGGAAGTTTCATAGACAGCTGGTAAGAACATACTATTCCACCAGGAATGAATCATGTGACCTGGTTGCTTCAGTTTGTCTCTTTCAGACCAGAGCTGGCCTCAGAGCCAGCTGTCCACTGGAGAAGAGGTCTATGTGGTACAAGCACACTTCCATTGTGCTGTGGAAGGAAGGCTACTCAGCAGCATCGAGTTTGGTGATAAGGTTTGCAGCTGCTAGCATTCATAAAAATGACCTCACTGATCAAGACAGTAGTTCTACCTACCAGCTGTACCCATTGAAACCCACTGTTCTTCAGAAAAAAATTCAGTATTCACATGTGGTTATCAGTATATTTTCATGGATAGCAAATCCTTCTAGCTGTTGTGAGCTTTTATTATTTTCAAAGTGTGAGTTTTAAAATTGCTTCTTTTATTTTTGAGATTATTATATACTTTTTCCCCCAAGAGATTATTTTTTTAATAGGCTCTCCCCCATGTGTCCAGGCTGAGAGAGAATCCCTCCATGTGGGATGGGCTCACAGAGTACCTTCTTACACCAGGGATAAATACTGATCCAGTACCAAGGGCCCAATAGAGTGCTGAGGCCTCCTCATTGACATCCACATTGAGAGGTCTGGATCAGTCCCTTGCTGGCCTCCCAGACAGCAGTCTGGGGTCCATGTGCTCCCCCTTGTTTGTTTCTGTGGGATTCACCAGCCTGGTCCCGACCTCTTTGCTCTTCACTCCTCCCTCTCTGCAACTGGGTTCCAGAGTTCAGTTCAGTGTTTTGCTGTGGGTGTCTGCCTCTGCTTCCATCAGCCACTGGATGAGGGCTCTAAGCAGAGGTGAAGGCAGAGGGGAAACCGAGAGTCGATTATAATATACTTAATCATTTCCTCCTTCCCTCCCTCCCTCCAAAACCTTCTATTATTCCTCCTTACTGTTGCAAATTCATGGCATCTTTTTTCATTATTTGTTACATACATAATCTTACTCAAAACCTTAGTTAGAGGTCTGAAGAGATGGCTCAGCGGCTAGGAGCACTTCCTGCTCTTGCAGAGGACTCAAGTTTGTTTCCTAGCACCCTTGTGAGGTGGCTCACAACCGCCTGTATCTCCAGCTCCAGGGGTTCCACTGAGATGTCATATTGTGACTGAGAACGCCCTGGATACTCATTCCCTGCATTCTGGCCATTTGTGAGTTTATTAACCATCATCCACTTCCAAAAGAAACTTCTCTGATGAGGTCTCAGAGCTACACTCACTGTGGGTAGAGAGCCAGGAATTCTCATTTATTTATAATTAGAAATGTAAGCTCCATTGTGTTTTTTATTTTGTTTTTTATTGTTGTGTGACTTCTAGGGAAATGTGAACAAATACACTTGTAGTCAGTCAGGATAGGACACTGACAATAAACCAGAGAAACAATTCCACCCAAGTCTAGCCTGGTGAATTAGAGTTACTAAATAGGGTTAGGGTGCTTCTTGGGCAGCTGCATCATTGAAAAATAACAGTCATGAGCAGTAAACTTTTGAAATATTGATCAATGTATATAAGAATTAAAGCCGGGCGGTGGTGGCGCACGCCTTTAATCCCAGAACTCTGGAGGCAGAGACAGGCAGATCTCTTTGAGTTCGAGACCAGCCTGGTCTATAAGAGCTAGTTCCAGGACAGCCTCCGAAGTCACAGAGAGACCCTGTCTTGAAAAACCAAAACCAACCCCCCCCCCAAAAAAAAAATTGAATGAGGTAATAAACATGAAAGTTTCCAGGGGGTATTGAGTGTGTGATGTACAGTAACACTTGTTTTTTCCTCTCTGTTTTGCTCTGAGTTCAGTTTTTAAAGAGGCATGACTGTCATTGTTCCAGACAAATTGCCTATTTTGTACCTGTACAGGATGTCATTGTTTTCATGCTGGCCCCCTCCTCTTCATTGTATGTTCAATTCCCTAGGCTGAGTGCTCTTGCCTGGGTCTGTTCTACCTTTCCCTCTAAACTCTCAGAATCTGGGTTATTATCTTATGCTATCCATGCAAGGCAGGAATGAGATTACCTTTGTGTTTAATGTTCCAGTCCAGACTCAAGAGACACTAACTCATTGGTAATTACTGTTCTTTGGTAAAGCCAAGGCTTCTAAACACTGACTTTATATAGCACTACTTTAAAATATTGTCATATTGTTACAGTGAGATGGTAAATTCTCTTGTCCCAGGATATCCAAGAATGGAGGGGGCAGACAGTGGAGGGAAATCAGGGGGTCAGAAGGAGCTTTATTTGTCACATTGGAGCAATAACACAGGAATACAGTCCTGTGCACTACACAAGGTGTCAGCTCAGAGATTGTCAGCAAGTGTTACAGCTTGAAGCCTTCAGAGGGTCTCAGGATGCAAACCAACAGCAATTCCATGCAGAACAAGTCTGCAGAAAGCAGGTCACAGCAGGTCTCTTGTCTCTGGCAAGTCTTGAAGGCTATAGAAAGCCACAGAAATGGATTCCTTTTTGAATTGTGGGGGCTGGGGCAAGAACAAGTCCTCCTACCTGCATCTGTAGGTTGAATCCTGGAGGGCAGAGCATTAGGAGTTCCAGTGAGTTCCTTATTTGAAGCAGGAGCTGCCATTGCAGCAAGCCACAGATAGGTCTGTCATGACTGCAGTCTTCCTTCCTGGATACAGAGCAGGCTGGGTGGGTTCTGGTTGGGGTTTTCCTCTGCTGTTGGTGACTAATGATCTTTTCAGAGAGAGGGGCAACTCCTGCATTCTCTACCAGGAGCCATTTTGTTGCTGTTGTAGTGGTCATCCTCAGACAGCCGACAGATCTTCACCCACTGGGGAATGCAGCCTGCTTCCCCACTCCAGCTGCATTTTGAGTCTCCTCCTGTCAGTTTTGTTCCATAGGGTTTTGCCTTACTCCTAGCCATCACTGAGCTCTTTCATGTGTAAGGCTGTCAAACATAGCTTGCTGCTTTTGGGAATTCTTACATGGGTTCAGTAGCAGCTGGGATTTTTTTGTGTGTGTGTGTGCTTAGCAGCTGTAGGGAAGCAAAACACCTGACTGTTAGAAGGGGACTGCTCAGTTTGTTGGTTGCTGGGTTCCATCCAGTCAGTTGTGACTGTTGGCTGGCTTTGGACACAGCCTGTATGAGAAGCAGTAAAGGTTCGGTTGTCTTTACACCCAGGGCTCTTGGGCCCTGGATACTGCTCCGGAGCTCAGATCACTGTTGGAAGCCTTCCTCTTGCTGTCACCAGCCAGCCTTGCCTTTGGGGGCCCCTTTAGCCCCATCAATTGAACATTCATAGTTTGTGCATGTGCAGGTTGTATGTATACCTAAGCTGTGTAAGAAAGCAGGACTGCTAGCTCTGACTAGCATCTGAATTACTTACTGGTGAGTTATAATCTAGCACCATTTGCTTTATTGTTCTGGTCACCCTAACCTTCCACCATTCTCATGTCTGCACTGAGAAGACCTCAGTGATGAGGTTGAGAGTAGATTGTTTCCATGGTGGGATTTTCCTCCAAAAAAGCATATACTGCACATTTGAGGGAAATTTTATATATAGCTTTAAAAGAAATATATTTTGGATATGTTATACTAGTGATAAAGTTGTTCATATCTTTCTTTTAAAAGTGTTTTATTGGGGCTGGAGAGATATCTCAGAGGTAAAGAGCACTGGCTGCTCTTCCAGATGTCCTGAGTTCAATTCCCAGCGACCACGTGGTGGCTCACAACCATCTATAATGAGATCTGGTGCCCTCTTCTGGTATGCAGACAGAACACTGTATAAACATAATAAATAAATAAAATCAGAAAAAAAAGAAAAAAGTGTTTTATTTAGTTTATGTATATAAGTGTTTTTTTATTTGTTTATATCTGTGTACCATGTACAGTACAGTTCCTGAGGAGGCCAAAAGTGGGCACCGGATCCCCTAGAACAAGAGTTATGGATGGTTGTGAGCCGTCATGTGGGTACTGAGTGTTGAACCTGGGTTCTCTGCAAGAGCAGCTAGTGCTCTTAACAACTGAGTCATTTTTCTAGCCCTCAAGTCTATTATTTCAGAGGGAAAACTAGCCAATGTAAATGCATTTGCTGTTTTACTTGGTTTACACTAAACTTTGAATTCCTAATCTGTGTTTAAAGTTGGGTCTGTGTGGCCGGGTGTTGGTGGAGCACGCCTTTAATCCCAGCACTCAGGAGGCAGAGGCAGGCGGATGGATCTCTGTGAGTTCGAGACCAACCTGGTCTCCAGATCGAGTGCCAGGATAGGCTCCAAAGCTACACAGAGAAACCCTGTCTCGAAAAAACAGGAAAAAAAAAAAAAAAGTTGTGTCTGTGTGTCTCGTGTGTTTTGTAGGTCTCCATCATGTTTCTGCCCAGAGATAGAGGGGATTACTCCCAGTTTTGGGATGTTGAGTGCCACCCTGCTAAAGAGCCTCACATGAAACACACCCTGAGATTCCAGCTCTCCGGACAGGTTAGCATTATCTTAGATACCATGAGTAAGTGATTGCCTCTATTAAAAGCCCTAAGTGGGAAAATGTCTGAAAATACATAACAGTTTCCTGATATGGTTTCTTTTTTCAGTAATTTGTTGTAGCCTCATATCTTAAGATTCTTGTAGGACTTTGAAAGTCCCCCGTGGAGGGCCTTACTATCCCTGGGGAGGAGTTGGGGGATGGGTTGGAGGGTTGCTGGGGAACATGGGAGGATGGGAGGGTGAGGGAATGGGGGGGGGATGGATATGTAAATATGAGCTCCTCTAAAATAAAAAAAATAATTAAAAAAAGATTCTTGTCAGTTTTTATTAAACTGACATCTTTGCAGTCTGCTTTTTGTCTATAGTCCTCATGAACTCATGTTTGAAAGTTGCTGTTTATATGTATGTACGTGTATGGGCATGGGGCAACAGAACTAGATGGAACAGAGTTTGCAGTTCAAGGGATTTAAAAATAATCATGTCTCTGCAGTGTTTTAAAGAAAATAATGGAATTCCCATAAGGAAATGTCCTTGTCCTTGTGCTTTCTGGAGTAGTCACCGTTTCTCCTCCCACTTTTTTATTTTTTTCTATACAGAGCATCAGAGCAGAAAATGACTCTGAAGACTCATGCTCCTCCAGCGATACCCTCATTAAAGTAGATGCTGCAGGCGTGTCTCGGAGGTGTGCTGTGCCCGAGACCTCTGCTCACATACCTGGGTGTGTATGTTGTGTCCATCTTGAGAGTTTCTGTTCATGTCAGTGAGATACAGGTGTACCATTAACATACATTTGTGCTTAGAAGAGTCACTTCCACCCCCACCCCCCACCCCCAATAGGGTTTCTCTGTGTAGCCCTATCTGTCCCGGAACTCAGAGAGATCCACCTGCCTGCCAGGTGCTGGGATTAAAGGTGTGCACCACTGTGCCTCCCTTATATATTTCTGAGGATAAATGTTTTTATTCATTTTGGATGATAAAAAACAATATTGTTACCCTAAATTGCTGGATAACATGATAAGCATGTTTAACTTTAAACACAAGATGACAAATACTTTCCCCAAAGTGTTTGTGCTGTTTTATATTTTCATAAGAAGAGTATGAGCATAGATTCTGTGGCTGAGAGATGGCCCAGCAGTCCAGAGCACTTGCCGTTCTTGCAAAGGACTAGATTATAGTTCCTGGCTCCCTGTTAGGTGGCTACAGCAGCCTGTACTCCAACTCCAAGGGATCCAGTCCTCTCCCCTGGCCTCCACGGGTACTGCACACACAGGCCGTTACATACACACACAAATACAATCAAATTCCTAAGAAAGTAGGGGTTTTTGTTTGTTTTGGTCAGGCTAGCTTACATTTGCTGTGTAGCTGAGGATGATGTTAAATTTTTTGCCTCTTAACTCCTTCTCCCAAGAAGTAGGGTTATAGGCCATCATGTCCACAGTGAAAGTTTATCATTATTATATATATATTTTAAGATTTATGTTATTTTTATTTGACGAACATGTGTGCTTGTGTGAGTGTCTGTCACTTGAGTGCAAGTGTTCTTGGAGTCCAGAATAAGGCATCAAATCCCTTAAGACTGAGTTAGCAGGCAGCTGTGAACCACTATGTAGGTGCTGAAAGGTCAGAGCAGGAAGTATTCTCAACTACTGAGCCATCTCTCCAGCTCTGAAAGTACACCCTCTTTCTGCTGTCCGCTTATCTCTTCATTTCATATTCTTTGAACTCTGATGATACAAAAAAAAAAAAAAAAGTGCTAAAGATGAGGGTAGGGGTGGTCTTGTCTCCACAGTTTTCAAATGGAGAGTCCCTGACAGTCCCTTCACACTGCTAAGTTGGGTAATAGCCCTGAGAAATACTGGGAAGTAAACAGGAAAAGTGTCAGACAACTGCCTGGGGAGAGTGTCATGCTAGCAGTTTGAAGTCCAGAGAGGTTAGAAAGTAGAGTGGCAGAAAGTCAATGTATAAAATCAGGACTGAAACAGATACAGTGTGCCCATTTCCATGGGAAAAGTCAAGAGTCTCAGAGAGGTTGTCTTTGAACAATTCAAAATAGCCAGCCCGTGGAAGTATGAGTGGTCCAGGTGACAAGAACAGAAGCAGAAATGGGAAGAAGGTACCTTCACAATGCCCCTAACCCAGCATTCCTGGAAGAGCCTCCCTGTGGCATCATTCACATAGACTAGATAAGCTCCAGTGCAAGTCTCTTGAGTTGCAGATGAAACACAAAGTTGCACTGCATAACATAGTATATGGAAACATTGTTACAAACTGAGTAATTGCCTTTCTTTGTAAACCTGTTCCCTAAGCAGGCAGCTTGACTTGAGTCACCATGGAGTATATGCCCCAAAGGACGTCTACATGTTCTTGCCAACGAAACTTGGGGAATCCAGGACACTGAAAGTCAATTTGCGAAATAATTCTTTTTTCACTCATGCAGTAAGTTGAAAATGTTATTATGGGCTTTCAAAAGCCCATAAAATGTTATTATGATGAGAAACGTATTCTATAATATTTTAGTTGTAATACATTAATTTTTAAAAATGATTTAAAACTGTATTTGAAAAGAAATTCATTTGCAGTTCATGATCTTTTATTTGAAAATCAAATTTAAAAAATTTTAACTTTTTTTCCTTCTGTATCCTCTGTCATACAGTATATTTCTAGATAATATTTATTTTTTATTTATTTTTTTAAGGATTTTTATTTATTTATTATGTATACAACATTCTGCTTCCATGTATATCTGCACACCAGAAGAGGGCCCCAGATCTCATAATGGATGGTTGTGAGCCACCATGTGGTTGCTGGGAATTGAACTCAGGGCCTCTGGAAGAGCAGTCAGTGCTCTTAACCTCTGAGCCATCTCTCCAGCCCCCTCTAGATAATATTTATATTAGTCAGAGCTCTTTAAATGTGTTTCTGTTCATGCAACTCTTGGTTGTCTTGCCTAATTTTTGGCTGGACCTAAATTTATGCAGTGTATGTTTAAAGCAAAGCCAAGTTTTATGTATGACAAATACCAAATTTTCCTACTATTACAAAATGTTTCCTGTTCATTTCCAGCTAAAGTTTGTGAGCCCCAGAGCACCTTTCTATATGAAACATTCCAAATACTCTTTGAGGTGAGTTTATCAAAAATCATCGTATTCTTCTGAGGGTACAGGGCTTACTCTGGGGATTGAGGGCAAGAGGGGTTGCCTCTTTGCAGATTCTCTTCTTCATCCCTGGTGGCAAGGAGCTTTCTGCTCACTCTTTGCAAGTAGCTAAGCAAGTGAAGAATCCTGCCTAGGGTGTGTCACTAGTTCCTGTGGGTCACTTAACATTATGGTGGCCTTGCAGGCTCTGATCCGGTGCTTAATAACCTCATGGCTAACTTGTAGAATAGTTCATGCTTCAGATGCTATTTTCACTGGTCAATACTGAGGTCATGGGTTTAAATTTTCCAATTCCTCAGTGAATTGGGAAAACATTTATTGTGATGTTTCCCAGTTGTCATCCTTCAGGTATCACTGGATTAGCTTTAAGTCTGGACCTTGTGTTCTTCTTTTTACCCAGAAACTAATGTTTTGTTTTGGGTTTGTTTGTTTGTTTGTTTGTTTGTTTTTGAGCCATTGTGTTAGCTAGAAAATAACCAGGTGCAAGACAAGTTTTGGGACAGGGCCACAAGCATTCAGTCTGATGATGGCAATAGAAAAACTATCTTTGAGATACTACACATTTATTAAGTACTGACATTACCTAAATTCATGTAATTTTGGCAATTGAAATATCGGATTATTTCATTTGTTTTGCTTCATCTCAATTTTTAACAAGATGTAGTTTATCTCTGTGAAGCTGCCTAGATTTAGTCATTTTGCTGCTGCTTATAGATTCTTATAGATTGCACTATAACAGCCCAGTAAGAAATAATGAGAAATACATATGTTCATATGAGATAGCATTTAAGTCAGCTTCCAAAAACCAGTTTTGAAAATATAGAAAGTGTAAGTAGTCATAGTAGCATACACCTGTCATTTCTTGTACCTTGAGAGTTATAGCAGTTGGAAACTTGTCCTGGACCATGACAGGTCTAAGACAGACATGATAAGACTTGGTTCTTTTAAAAAAAACAGTTCCTATTGTTATACAGGTAAAAGTAAACATTATAATTGAGGTGAATTTGTGCTATGGACTTATTGTCCTAGAGCTAGAAAATGTCGTAAGTTGAACCCCACTTTTGTATACAAACTGGGTGTCTTAGTTACTTCTCTCAGCTATGACAAAATACCTAACCCTCCCCCCCAAAAAAAAAACTGAAGAAGGAAGGGCTTACTTCAGTTCCTTATTTGATCTCATCTCGGTGGGAAAGTCACAGAGGCAGGATTGTGAGATAGCTGGTTACATATCTACAGTCAGGGAGCCAAAAAGAGATGAATGCAGGCACTCAGCTTGCTTACTTATTGCTCAGTCCAGGACTCCAGCCCATGGATTGATGCTGTGCATAATTTGTGTGGGTCTTCCCACCTAAGTTTACTCGATCCTGTCTGGCTGACAGGATTACCCATCCCATCACATGGGATCATGTTTACTGAATCTAAAGAAACTTAGAAACACAGAGTATACCATTTTGTTGTTTTTGATTTTTAAGGATTGATTTTGTCATTATGTATATGGGGGGGAGAGGCTCACCGTGTATAGTGTGGGTGTGTATATATACCACCTGTGGAAATAAGAGGACAACTTTTCAGCAACTAGTTCTCTCCTACATTCTAAAAAGATTTGTTTATTTATATTTTCTGTGTGTGAATCCTTGCCTGCGTGCATGTATGCATGCATGTGTGTAACTTTTATGCTTGCCTGGTACCAGCTAATCTAGAGGAGGGCATTAGATCTCCTGGGATTGGTGTTAGAGATGTTGTGAGCCACCATGTGCGTGAACCTGGGTCCACTGCAAGAGAGGAGTTCTTAACCACTGAGCCATCTCTCCATCCCAGCATGCTCTTCTGCATCCAAAAGCCAGTTCTGGTTTTCATTATGAAGACATTGTTAGTGAGAGTCTATGCTGCTTCTGATCACCAAACTTCAAAGCTTGCCATTCTGGGAAGCCACTAGGATGAAGGGCCTTGCTGTGAGGGACAAGTCTGAAAAGCTCTCATCTTTGACTTACAGTGATTAAACCAAAAGCTGATGGCTACATATGGGCAGGCTGTGCATAAAGTATAGAAAGAGCATTCGCCACAGTCCTAAAGTATATCTGGGAATAAGGTTTTATGGACAAGAACAAGCCTCCGTTAGCATTGCTCTTATTTATTATATATACAGTATTCTGTCTGCATGTATGACTACATGCCAGAAGAGGGCACCGGATCTCATTACAGATGGTTGTGAGCCACCACATGGTTGCTGGTAATCGAACTCAGGACCTCTGGAAGAGCAGGTAGTGCTCTTAACCCCTGAGCCATCTCTCTAATCCCCAACATAGGCACTCTTTGCCACTCTATGTAATCTGAAAATAAAGCTTCCAAGAATAATTTTTTATAAAAGTATCAGGTTTTAGAGCATTAAAATTGCACAGTAGTGTTGGTAAAAATGGGACAGGTTTTTAAATTCTTTTCAGTACAATATGCTGCCTGAATTAAGCAAAGCCATCATTTTTAGGGTTTTTTCTTATCTGTAGGTAGTGACTTGTGTTTGTATTTGGGGTACAGAGAAGCAATGTAAATTCTCTCTTTCCTGTTTTGTTTTAGGTTTTTCAAAGCAAAGTTTCTTTGTGTAACAGCTCTGGCTGTCCTGGAACTCAGGCTCTATAGACCAGGCTGGCCTCAAACTCAGAGATCTGCCTGCCTCTCCCTCTCTAGTGCTAGGGTTAAAGGTGTACACCACCACTGCCTGACTCCTGTTTCCTGTTTTAATTGGCTACCCAGAGATAGAATTCCAATATTGTGTTAGTCTAATTGGAGTGGTTTGTTTTGTTTTGACTTTCATTTTGTTTTGGGGCTTGGGTGTAGCTCAGCTGGGAAGAGCGCTTACCTTGTGCATGAAGCCCTGGGTTCATCACAGAATTCTAGTCTGGAAGGTGGAGGTAAGGGAACTCAAAGTTCAAGGTCATCCTTGGCTATACAAGTTTGAGAGCAGTTTGAGCTATGTGAGAACCCTTCTCAAGGAAACAAAACCAGTGTTTGGGATTAAACCAGAGGCCTCAGACATGCTGGGCAGATATTCTTCAGTTGTACTATCTTGATTTCCCTTTCCTGTTTTTCAGCATCTTGTTAAATGTTAGCATTAAAAAAATTAGAAATAAAGCCGGGCATTGGTTGTGCTCACCTTTAATCCCAGTACTCGGGAGGCAGAGACGGGTAGATTTCTGTGAGTTCCAGGCCATCCTGGTCTCCAGAGCAAGTTCCAGGACAGCCTCCAAAGCAATAAAGAGAAACCCTGTCTCAAAAAACCAAAAATAAATAAATAAATAAATAAATAAATAAATAAATAAATGAAATAGGCTTGGTTGTGGTGGCACACGCCTTTCATCCCAGCACTCAGGAGGCAGAGGCAGGCAGATCTCTGTGAGTTTGAGGCCAGCTTGGTCTACAGAGGAAGTTCTAGGATAGCCAAGGCTACACAGAGAGATCCTGTCCATAAAAACCACAAAAGAAAAAAATTCTAAATAGGACTCTGTGTGCTCCATCCTCCCATCACTCCTGTGCTGTAGCAGGCCACTGCAGCCCAAAGGATGTCTACATGTTCCTGCCAACCAAACTTGGTGAATCCAGGACACTGAAAGTCAATTTGTGAAATATTTTTTTCACTTATGCACTAAATTTTCTGAGCCCGAGAGCACCTTTCTACTTCAAACATTCCAAATACTCTTTGAGAGCCCGGCACTATATCCACATCCCGGTGCATTTCCGACCGCAGTCAGTGGGCAGATTCGAAGTTTTACTTGTGATCCAGACAGATGAAGGCAAGAGCATTGCTGTTCGGCTAATTGATGAAGCCCTTGGAAAAAGTTAACCAGAATACATTTTGTGTAAATGACCAGTTATATTTTGGCAGTCTTATTTCTCTACACCAAAGTTATGTTGTTGTATATATTTTGTATGATAAATTCAATGTGTATAAAGTATACATTTGTTTTTAGAGAATTCAGTCTGGAAGCCCTGACTATCATGTATCTAGCTCACAGTGTTAACATGTACAGAGGAAAAGTTCTATTTTTGAATTGATTATGACATTCTGAATAAATACAGTTTTAATGTGTATTCAGAAATAAACTTGAGTTTTTCACTGAACTTGTCTTTCTATCTGATGCCACATTATAAAAATTAGAATATGGCTTTATCCTTCTAATTGTTCCCCAAGCTTCAGAGTGTGTTCTGATTTCTTCTCCTCTATTACAGTTTTCTTTCCCCTAGGAAATTTCTTGTATCTGTTAGCTGGTTGTTGACATAGAAGCTTCATATTCTGTGTAAAGACAGTGGGGAAGCTGGTTTGTTTCCTAGTGTTGCTTACTGTATTTAGTGTTGGACATGACACCTGCTCCTGGGTGCAGTTTGGTCATGACCTTTGCAGGCATGTACCGCCTGATAGGATAAGGGGATGGGAAGGACCTCCTACAGGGAGGGGTTAAAGGGCAGTGTGTATGAGGTCAGGAAGGCAGCATGCCACCCAGAAGGTATAAGGTGAGTGACTGCTTTCCAGATAGTCACTGGTGCATCTCCTGAACATGATCACAGGCCCAGCCAGCAGCCTTCTAAGAAGCATAGGTGTTGGTGTAGTGTGAACCTGGGATTTTGTATGGGTAGCATTTTAAGCTTGGATCTCGGATAACTTAAACCCAACCGCAGTTAAAAGGAATGATTGTGATTCTGAAAGAAAAGCAAATCTCTGCATTCTCATTTTTCTCCTGTCTAGAGATCAGACTTGCAAACCCAGATGTCATACAACTCATACAACTCATACCTGAAGCAAGAGGATTGGCATGAGAAGCCAACCTGGGATGGAGTGAGAACTAGTATTAAAAAAAAAAAAAAAAAAAAAGGAAGAAGGGAGGAGATTGGCAAACTTGTTTCTTTGTTTTATTTTGCTTTTGGAGACTAGGTCTCTATGTAGCCTTAGCTGTTCTAGAACTCACTGTGTAGACTAGGCTGGCCTTGAACTCATGGAAATCAACCTGCCTCTGTTTTCCAAGTACTGGGATTAAAGGTGTATGACACCACCATTCTTGGCTTTCTGCAAAAGTTTTCAACAAGCAGGTAGTGCTTTTCCCGATCCAGCTTATTGTAGGTTTTGTATGTCACATGTGGTGTCACTTCACATTTGTATGGGCATTTGGCCATATTCAGCTTTAGAAATTTTAAGAGTAGTGCATGCTGTGTAAAGTTCTTTCTGGTCCTTCATTTCCTTAGGGTTGTGATGTTTGTTTCTGGGAAACTACTGCTTTACGTTTGTTACATTCGGGAGAAAAAGAAAACACATGGAACACTTTAAAGATGACTGTACCTCAGACCACCTACTTGTGGATCTTCAGTGCCTGTGCCCCATTGTTTTGGAAACATGACGTTTGGGGTCTTGAGAGCAGCTGGGTTCCTTAGTTGATTCCTGCCACTGTCCTTACTGCTGAGTGATGGGAGATGCCCTTCTGTATATATGTTTTTCTTACTGGTTGATGAATAAAATACTGATTGGCAGAATGCTGGGAAGAGAGGCGCAGAAGAGATGCGATGTAGCCGGCAAAGGATTTACAGGTCCAGGCATTCTCTGGTAAGCCAAAGACCATGTAGAAATAACATAAGATTTATAGAAATGGGTTAATAATTAAGACAGAGCTAGCCAGTAAGAAGCCTCAACCATTGGCCAATGGTTTAATAATGAATATAAGTCTTTGTGTGCTTATTTGGAGCTCAAGGTCAGCGGGACCTGGCGGGAAAGAAACCGTCAGCAACAGCTGAGTCCATCAGAGTTGCTAATAGGCAGATCTAATAGGTGAGCTTCTGGGGCCACGGTTCCCGATGACCTTTCCACTTGGAAAGCTGCTGCTAGGCCTTTCCTGCTCTCCCCACGTGTAGTCTTCATCTCCCTGAGCTCCAGGCTTATGAGTCTACATGGTTATCAAATGGGCATCCCAAACTTTTGGTTCCCTGCCAACATTGCATGTGCTTCTCCCTGGCTTTTCTCAACTCAGTAAATGACTCTGTTTATCCTGTATCATAGCTAAAGCCCTAGGCTTGGGTGACTTGCTCTCAACCCCCAAGTTGCCTCTCAGAGGATTGTCTGAACTAAGCCCTCCTCAGACTACCTTTATCAGTGACTCTAGAACCTCTTTGCAGAGCTACATCTGACTACATCTGACTAAACCCTAGCCTGTGCCTCTTGCTTATCTTTGTGCACAGTTGTTCTACAGGAAGGGCTGCTCTGGGACCCTGAGACCTGGAGGCCAGGAGGCCTTCCATCCACTGCTGGGCCCTACTTGATTTTCAGGTGTCCTAAATCCCCACTGTTGTTGTTTTGCTGCAGCTGCAGGTGATGAAACAAACCACAAAATCCATGTGGAGTTTATTAGGGAAAGGGTGTAAAGGGAGGAGTAGGTGTTGGCCAACTGGGAACAGAGATGGAAGGGGAAGGGAAGTGGGGAGCAAATAGGTGGGAGGTGCTCGCTTAAAAGGGAAAGCTTGCACATGCGTACAGAGTCCTTATGCAGCATGATGTAACCACGAAACACAGGGCCCTTTGAGCTGTCTTAAGTATCTGCCTGAATACCGGTGTGCATACCCTGCCAGTTGTCAGGGGCAGGATCAGCATAATACCTGAATCCTTACACCCACTACACACTGATTCCCAGCTGGCCTGTCTAGGGTTCTTGTACCTGAGCCATTCTTTCCCTACCTCAAAAGTCCTTTGGAGCATTGATGTCCTTTCTTTACTATTATCCAAGGTCAGAGGGATCCTCTTGATCTGTTCTCCCTGCACAGTGTCCCTCCTCTCCTCTTCATGCAATCTTTCTTAGGTGTTTCCTACTTAGCCTGCTCCTGCCTGGAAGATGTAAACTGGGAAGTGGAAAACCTAGACCTCCTTGCTCACCAGGCATCTCCAGCCCTTGGACTGCACCTCACAAGGCATGCATATTGCCTGTCACTGGCCATCCAGCGGCACCTGCCATATCCCCCATATGCTGTCTTGTTCGGGGAGGTTTTCTGAGTGCCACCATCATGCAGGTGTCTTCTCAGGAGGCATGTGTCTCATGGCTGCCCTCCACAACCCAGGCTCCTCACTTGGCTCTCCTCTAGTCTTCCACATACATTTGCCACCAGAGCTAATTGATTATTGACTGCCAGGTACCTCTGTCATGCTTCTCAATGACTTGGTAGACACTGGGCTTTTTAGGTGGGGAGGCTGAAACAGGCCCCTTCTTCCTGCGGCAGTCTCCAATACTAAAGGAGCAGCTTTAACAGGTAGGTTTATGGGAGCAGGCCTGGTTTAGTGTTGATGCTTTCAAAGACAAAACTAGGTTAATTGGCCGAGGGTCACATAGCTACAGGGTCTGGGCTGGGACTCAAGCCTTCATTTTTCTAATTCAAGCATCCAGTTGTAGATAATAGAGGCTACTCTTGACATAGTTTGTGAAAACATTGTATTTTATGATCATCTTAAAAGTTGTATTCTCTTACTATTATAAAGCAGCCCTAAGATTGACAAGTTGTGTGTTCTGCCACCTTAGTTCATTAAGTCCACAGTAGTGAAAAATGATCACTTTACTCAGGTAAGACATTTTACAGGCAAGACCTGAAGTCCTGTAGCTTTAGCTTGGTGATTAATGTGGATCATTGCTGACTTAATTAGTCCTGAACTAATATTCGATTAGAGGACACGTTTCAGTCTTCAGTTCAACTCCAGGTTAGGATGACTTTCTGTATATAATGGAAATATTTTATGGATTTGGGGAGAGAATCAAATTGGGCAGTTTCTTATGACTCTGAAATTGTTCTATTTGCTCTTTCTTAAATGGCTTTTCTCACCGAGGGGCAGTGATGGACACATATACTATCAGCACTCGGGAAGCAGAGGCAGGTGGATCTCTGTGAATTCGAGACCAGCCTGAGAATGAGTTCCAGGGTCTTCGGCCATACCAACCTGAAGGCGCCTGATCTCGTCTGATCTCAAAAGCTAAGCAGGGTTGGGCCTGGTTAGTACTTGGATGGGAGAATGAGTTCCAGGACAGCCAAGACTTTCCACAGAGAAATCCTGTCTCCACACACACACACACACACACACACACACACACACACACACACACACACGGCTTTCCTTCCTTTTCAGTTCATTTTATGAATTTTGATACTAAATGTGGGGAGTCTTTTTACAGAGTTTTGATGACAGTCTTGCTCTGAAACCAGAAAAACTTCCCAGCCTCTTCCTGAATGGAACTGTTTTCTGTGTGTCTTTTCCTCCAGTGAGAGCCCATGTATGGGTCTTCTTGAAGATTGGGAGCCCTGGTTGGGTTGGATGTATGTGTTTCATGTTGTTTCCCAAACTAGCCACAGACAAAGGTATCTGACTTTATGATCCCAAATGTTATGCCAGTTGTATCTTTTTAGTTTCATACCCGGCTTTTATTGAATTTTGAAATGCCACTTTGTAAATTTCTACCCCAAGTCTGGCTCCTTGCCAGTTTACCTTGGGTGAGTTATTCTGCCTTGAACACTCTGAACCTTTTGTCCCCAAACCTCCTCCTACATCTAGAAATCTCACTATTGTGCTTTCTAGCCACAGGCCAGTGATACATTGCATTAGTAAGCTAAACAGTTAAAGTATTAAGTTTATTTTTCTTTAGAAGAATTACATATTTCACTTGCTCTTATTTTGTGGTTGTTGTTGTTTTTGTTTTGTACCGTCTCTTGTTTTACCTTATTCTGAATAGGAGGATGAACAAACAACTTAAAAAATGTTCAAAACTGTAGCATTCTATGAACATTTTGTATTACTATCATAAAGTATGGAGGATGTGCTAGACTGTTTCTTTAATGGCCCATGGTGA